TTGTCGCTGTTAAGTTGTTCTTTAGCTCTGTATAGATTTTATAATAGCCAAAATTCTTTTTTGGATGTTAAAAGATGCTGAGACCACTAACCTGACAACAGCCAGATGCATGTCTCACTCCGCCTAGCTCCGCTCACGGAGCGAGACATGCATCTGGCTGTTGTCAGGTTAGTGGTCTCAGCATCTTTTAACATCCAAAAAAGAATTTTGGCTATTATAAAATCTATACAGAGCTAAAGAACAACTTAACAGCGACAAAATGAAAGATGGATCAACAAGGTTTTTAAGTATGTGCTGTTTTTTCATTGTGGATTAGAAGACAAAGAAATTTTTTTCTTAAATCTATGGTAAATTTGACAACAAAGGCATCTCATTTTTTGCCTAAAAATGAAAAACAAAAAAGGGAAGAGGGTGGAGCTTCCAGAAATGCCCAAAATTTAAAAATGATGAATGGTTGGACTTAAACATGGTTGGACTACAACAACATTTTATCAAGAGGAAAACATAACACATCATGCCTCTATCTATTTTACTAAAGCCAAGTGCTTTTCTATTTTTAGCCTATGAAAATTTCCAAGCAGTTAATTGTTTTCTTTGCTTTTACTATTTACAGTTACAGTTTGATGTGATCTCATAAAATTGTAATTTCAAAAACTTATGTTACCACCCGGCAGCATGCCTTCTGGCTATCAAGGCCAGAAGCATCGTGGCCTTGTGTGGCTAGAAGAAATCAGGAAATATCCTAGAACACACATACAGTACACAACCAAACACAACCAAACAGTCCACTAAAAACTTTTGCCATGGCAGTTTGAATCAATCGTAATTGCACGAACGAGAGTGTGCAGATCTGAATGAGATAACCTTACGCTTTTTCAGATGCAAGGATACCCTCTGCAAACAAGATTACTGTTTTTCAAAGCTGTGGTCCATGTCTCTGACTGTTTTTCGTAACATTTCCCCCCAACAGATGAAATAAACTGTGCGTTTTTATATGATAACAGCAGGTGGTTTTTTTAAATGGAGAGGAAACTGATTATTTACAGTTTGAAGTACTTTTAGGTAATGTAGCTCAAAATAATTTTAATGACTTACTGTAACTCCATAGAAGTTTGTTTCGTTCATGACATCAAGCACCATTTTCCCCACTTCCCGATCATCAACTGTGAAGTTGTGGTACATATTTTGTCCTTGTTTTGTCCGGAGCACTTCCATCACTCGGGTCAAGGTCTTTGCGATTACCCAGATCCCATCATAAGCAAAGCCGTGAAACTTGCTTGCCTCCACACCTTTCTGTTGAAGCTCCCTGTAATATTCCTTCTCATATTCCTTTGGGGTCTGAAAGGCAAGTGAAAGGCAAGATAAATCTGAGAAAATGTACATTCATCTCCTTCCTTTTTCTTAACACCTAAGCTGTTGGCACAATTACAGTGGTTACATGAAAAAAATTAGCATTAAGTGAATGTAGATAAAAGAAAAAATAATAATGAAAAAACAAGTTGAAGTAACTACACACTAAAATAAAAAAAGTGATGACTTTAATTTAGAGACTGAAAGTCTCATCTTAGGTGTTAGAAAAGAGACACAGTCAAAATGACTGAACTTAACTTTTATAGTCGCAATGTCTACGTATAAAATCTCAATTTTCTGGGTGTTGGTGGTTATTTTTATTCATTGCTTGGTCCATGTTCTGATGTCTGCCTCGTAAAAAAGCTCTGGTGAGCATCGGAGTGGCTTGGAGCTGAGCGTATATTTTCCGCTCTCTGCACTGGAAAAGGGTAGCTTGCCAACTTCTGGTTGGGAACGATCTAATGCTCTGGTTGGAAGAGTTTAGTGTCTCAGGATCTTGTTTACCAGAGAAGGCAGATGGAGCAGGAGGTTAAAAGGCAGATTGGGCTGCATATTCAGTGACGCTTCAGTGATGTTGCATCCGTCTAACAGACTCTGTCTGTTAATAGAGTGTTAAGTTAAAAGGTGAGGCTTTTAATATCTTAATTAATCCTCACTTAGGCCATAGGAGAATAAAATCTGGAATACAGCAAAGCAGCTACAGTAACACTAACCAGTGCTCAGTATATACTGTATTTAACTTCACCGTTTGGGATAGGGAGCGAAAATTATTTTTTCTTGTCAAACATCAAAATAACCCACAGTCAATGAAGTAATTTAGATTTTATAAAATCAACAATCCTCCCCATGAGAATTGCCCTAAGGGAAGTTTCAGGACAGACCTAGGACTTTCTAGAGAGATTACATGTCATGGCTCACTTGGGTGTACCCGACAGTAACAAGAAGCCAGCTGTGGAATAGAAGGTCTGTGAATCTATGCTAAAATCATAACCCTTAAAACATTTTCTCAGAGGATAGATGTAGACCTAAATTTATTTAGAAAAAAGCTTTAAACAAAACTAAATTTTGATAAAACACTTGCAGGTGTCATCATAGGACCAATGTTTTAGTTCAAGAAAGTTTCCATTTTAATTGTTAACATATTTCTTCGACTATTTCTAACATAGTAACCTGTTAGCGTTACAGGCCAACACAATCCTCCTAAATAACTTATCATTTTAATAAGTGTGTGACTCACTCTGCCAGAGATGCCCTTTACAGGCCGAGAACTGAGCGGCTCAAAGTCCACACTGATGTATCCCTCCATTGCTGTTAGGAGCTTCTTGGAAGTGCAGTTGGTGCTGTTCGCCTGCTCCCACCAGTGTCGTTGGTACCAGCCTGGGATTATCCATTGGTATTTGCTGCCATACATATTCAAGTTGTACGCCTTGGAAAAAAAAAAAAAAAAAAAAAAAAAAACAAACAATCAAAGTATTTCCATATTTTGTTGACCGGAACTTCTTTCAGTTTAAGTCAGAAAACCAGACCCGGTTTAGATACAGTATTTCACTAATAAGGTGGTCAATAACCTAAGCATCTTTGTTTCCTTAAACGTGCATCAGCTTATTCTGTGTTGTTGAGGTTTGCATACTAATGTAAATATTTTCTGGTATGTGGGTTTCTGCAAAGAGCAGTTTCTTCAATATTTGAAAAAATAGATTAAGCTTTTTTCTGTTATTAGTCACTTAGATTTGCTCGGTAATAGCGACGTAATCATAACCTAAGAAACAGCTGATTTGTGTGGTAGAGTAAAAAAAATTAAACGTATTCAAACTTTTTTTATTAAACTTTCCTCTATATTATTTTTTTCATAACAATCAGTCGTTGACAGCTTCTACCAAAACATCCTTAATAATCGGCATCTGACCCACAAGTCCCCTCCTTCCTGAAAGGTAACTGCTAGGAAAGTCAAAGACTATACATTTTTCACTCTACATAAAACATATATCCAATGCCATAAATACGTTTGTTTTTAGCCTTTGAGATTGGAAGCACTTCTCTTTTGTAAATAGTACTTAGACCCTCTCTTTCCCAATATTTCCCTCCTGTTATTAGTTCTTTATGTATGGCTGACTTACACAACAGAAGACTTTAGAGGCCAAATGCTCATCAAATTGCCCAATGATGATTCTCACGTCGTTGTCCTGAGGAAAGAAAAACATAACAATAGATTTAAAAGATTAATAGAATAGATTTTTATTTCTCTTATCTTCACAAGCTGGTATCAATTTTTATTTTTAATACCTGTGTTTTCAAATTTTCATTTATATTTTCTGTTACTTTAAAATGCTTTAGTGGGTTAAGGACTACATTGATCAAACAAAAAAACCAACAACTTTTTAATAAGGTTTTGCAAACCATAATTAACAATCAACAATCAAATAGTTATATCAAATATGAGATAATCTTATTAATATAAACTCTGCACATCAATCAGCCACTCCATTTTAAGGATAGAAAAACCAGGTAGGCTTGAATTTAGAAAAGACTGTAGCCATATGTATTGAGTCCTGTTTTAAACTTGTTATGAACATTTATCTTAATAATATGAATCATTTTTAAATCCAGTTAAAGGTATTTAATTTGTTAAGTACAAAGGCAGAAAAAAGAATGAATTAACAAAGTCCTGGTTCATTTTTGGCATCAGTATTTTTTTCTATGAAGCCAATATTACATTAAAATCTGGTAAAAATAATTAACTCAGTCTAGTGACCTTTTTTCTTTCATAGCAACAAAGGATTTAAGGTTATATTTATCAGAATGAGAAACCACTAGTCCAGAGAATGAAGCCATATCATTTTGCACACTTCATTAATAATAAAGATCACTTCAGTGCATTGAACTGCTTAAGCCGGGCTATAGAACAGAAATTTGCTCAGGGAGTCAGAGCACAACATGGCCCTTTGAATGAGTTGGTAAATGATTTAGATTCCCTGGTGAAAATTCTGCTTGTTCCAGGTTGGAGGAAAAAAGGTCTGGCTCTGCCTTTTAGTGAGCATGTGCTTATGTATAGCACATAAATATGCACACACAGTCTTGATCAAATGCAGCTGAAATGCCTGCATATAATCCAAAATTGCACAAGAGTGAATCAAATTATACTGACACAGATCTGATGAATGCAAATCTATACAAGGCTGCATCAGATGTGCCAAACTCAAAGAGGTCAGATACTGGAATGTTTTCATTCCTGTGCAGATGATAACGAAGCTTAGGTTTCCATTAAGTGACTGAAAGAAGAAAAACTAAATTATTTTGCAAGTCTTTCAAATGAATTTAGATCCTGAAATATTGTTTAAGAAATCTAAAACAGATTTAGAAATCTTATAATCTGCTAAAGGGGAAAAAAAGGCATGATGTTTTTAAATAAATGTAAAAACAAATCTTTCTGACATCATCAAATACAGATAAAAAAAAAACCCAAGTTTGTTTAAAAAAAAATTTGTATGTGATTTTGAAAGAAATAAAAGAAGATGCAGTAGCAACAAATTCAGTTAACCGATGACGTACCCACTCCTGTGAGTCTGGATAAAAGGAAACAATTACAAATACAGTTCATTAGGTTATCCCTTAGGCTGTGGTCCACCATATGTTGAACATCGTTGGATCAGAGGGTGCAGCTAATCACTGTCATCTTAATTTCACCAGATCTCTGGTGGTTTCTCATAGGAGCCAAAAAATGTCTTCACAGAGCAAGTTGCATAACAATTTACATAAAGTGTTTTTTTAAATTAACAAAGATCAGGTAACAGTCCTGGGTACGGCCACGCTGTGCTTTGCATTATTTTGTGTATCTATGTAGATGTGTGGGAAAGACATATGCCAGTGGCAACTCAACAGTGCTGCTCTTCCCTGAAGGAAAGGCACTTAACCCAAATGACTCCAGTGATAGCCAAGAGCCACAGGCTGAGTGAAAACCCAAGCCTGTCTGCTAACAAATAGAAATGCGTGCATAGTTGTAGGCAAGGGCATGAGTGAGTGTGTTGTATTAGAGCATTACAGATAGACTCTGGCACCGAAGGGCTCCAAATTACCCTCATTGCTCAAGCATTTATATAACTGTAACAATTACTGTTCCCAGAGAGGGTAGAGTTAAGGGCAGCCTTGACTGCTTCATCCTTGACATGGTTATTTGTATCTTTATGAATGTGATTAATTTGTGATTGTGAGTTGAGTAATATTTCAGGTCTTGTGCACAATCAGGCCTTTAAGGCTTATTAAACACAAACGCATAAATATTGTAATATTGATGGGTCTTTTGTGAGCTTGAGGAAAAGTCCATTAAAAGCTGTGTTGTTTCTACAAACAATAAGAGCCGCATTTTAAAATGATAACACTGACATGATGAGCAAAAACTACCAAATATTTACTCTGGGAGATGGGAATATGGAACGGTTATTACAAAGCTATGGCTACAAATTATTAGAGCAGCTGCTTTTAAAACAAATCTCAGCTTAAATATACTTCTTAACCTGCAGGCATATATAACTAGAACAGAGTCAATAGGTCCTTTAAGCTGTCCAGTGCCTCCAGAGTGAGACTGTTGCTCTGTCTTTGGACTATTTGGGCTAGCATAGGTGCCTTACATTTTTTTTTTATACTTTATAAAATGATTAAACTTTTTTGATTTTGCAAGAGTGTAATCATTTGTTCTAAGCCTATTCTAGGTGTCTGTAGATCTAAGAACCTCCAACAAATATTTACTATATCTCAATATTATGGTCATGCTGGGCCTTATGAAGAAATAAAAAAATACAGATATGAGAGCAAGGTAGTGATTCCTTTCTGTGTTACTTGTAAAAATTATAGAAAACAAAATTCTATCTGAAATAGTGGATGTGCTGCAATGCAATATGTCACCATCTCAGTTGTCCTCAGGGAAATTAACTGTTTAAATTGGTAATACATGTTACATTCAAATATTTTTTATGGACATTTGCCCTTTTGTGTATTGCAAGACGGCTAAAGAAAGTAAAGTGTAATTTATCTTATATTTCTTACGTAATGAAACAACCATTCATTTATATTGGCAGGGTATCAGTTACCTAGTATCTTTATTTAGAGGGGAAGGTCTAAAAGCACTTGGGTTGGAACCAGCATCTGTGATAAGAAGACCCTGTTTTTGATAGCATGATTCCTGACATGCCTTGGCAAAAAACAACCATAAATAAATAAATAATAACCTAAAATGACTGCACTATACATGTAATACTGATCACTAGTGAAGCTAAGGTTGCACCAGTTTTTGAGACCTTTTAAAAGTTCAACATAAAAGCACTGCAGTAGAGTGGGGAAAAAAAGGATGCACCTGCTTCTTGAAAATCTTAGCACTGAACTAATAGCAATCTCAAGCTCCAACAGGCTGTCTGTACTTACAGATATTCACCCATCTGGTAGCTGAAAAAGGCTAAAATTTATGAAGTCATTTGGCAAATACCTTCCTTCTCTCAGTAGGAAAGCACAGAAATGTGAAGTTGATCTTCCAATTTAGTGGCGCAGTGGGTAGCACTGCTGCCCTGCAGCAAGAAGGTTCCCGGTTCAATTCCCGGCCCGGTGTCTTTCTGCCTAGAGATTGCATGCTCTGTGTAGCAAATAGCATGTGTAAGTTCTCTCCAGGTACAGTATTCCTGCTTCCTCCCACAGTCCAAATACACGACTGTTAGGTTAATTGGCTTCTCTAAATTCTCCTTAAGTGTGAGTGTGTGAGCGAATCCTTGTTTGTCATGTTTGTCTCTGTGTTGCCCTGTGATAGACTAGCGACCTGTCCAAGGTGTACCCCGCCTCTTTTCCATTGACAGCTCAGCCCTGCTGGGGTCGCGGCGTCAGAAAATGGATGCGTGTTACACCACAGCTAATATAATGTAAATTCCCCCTGCACAACTACACTCTGTTAATTGCGCACCCTGATCATAAACACACTATTAAGTACAACTGTCCCTTAAAATATTATACACACTTGAAAGAAATAAATGGGTATTGATATTTCTCATAATATACTTAATCTCCTTAATGCTAGATTGTACACTTCTCTTTATGCTTGAATACATGGGAAAATAAGAAATTGTTATCGTGTTGGTGAGCAGTATCTGTACAATAGCCTGGATTCAACCTCCATGTTAACTGTGTCACTAGAGAAAAGGTCGTGGTGCTCTACTATTAAACAGGATATGCACCACTGCATTAGAATGAAGGTTTAAGAGCAGACAGAAAGTAGGTGCCTTACAGAACAGCAAGTACATAAAGCTAGAATAACGGAGGCTTCCTTGTGAAGGTGTTCTACTTCTGTAAATAATTCTTCTTGTTACCACTGATTATTAAACTCTAGCAAGAAGAAGCAGTGTTTTAGTAGTTTTAGCCATGTCAGCTCTAAGGTTTACATGTAACTGCCTAATAGCTTTGTTATTCTGCCTTAATCTTTAAGTGCACTTAACAATGGAGGTATGTATGTCCTGTATGTCCTCAGTCAACCTGGTTGGTTCACAGGTCAGTCACTGGTCAAATGGCACTTCTTCCAAAAAACCCAACTTCTTCCTTCTATACATCTTTATAGGTTTTCTGGCATCTATTGGAAATCGGAAGAATTATACTATTATAACACTGTAAAGAAGCATAAACTAAGCACATCTTTTCAAAACAAGTAGTGGCTAGTGTGAACTTGAATGCTAGCTAGTCATCTAGAAGAGCTTAATCCAGCGGTCTTTAAGGAAAAATTAAAGACGAACAAGGTTGGATTAGCAGTCCGGCTAGATTTCCAGCAGAGCAAACCCACATTCACACATATTCCTTTCCCAAGTCAGTTTATAAAGAGTAGAGAAACCAGGGCGCTTGGAGGAAACTCAAACATGCAGATGGAGAACATGCAATCCCAGAGAGAGATCTGGAGAGATGAAATCAGAAAAATCCATTGGCTGGAACTATAATGGATATCACCATATTTTAATACCAATATATACAGTTAAGGTATAGATAATAAGTAAATGTACAATCTTCTGTTTAAAAATATGGATCTACACTTTAAAGGCAAGTGTCCAAACTAGTCATCAGTCACAAGAATAGAGAAAACAGAGAATATAAAAAGCAATTACTGATATTTTATGCTCTGAATAACAAATTAAAAATTACTGGTTACTTTTTTGTTTTTGTTTTACTAGTGTTTTCTTTTTTGTTTCTTTATAATGCAAGAAAACTAAAAAGATGAAATAAATGTGAAGCACAGAATTTGAAAAAAAAGAGGAATATGGAGGATGCCTGCAATTCCCCTCAGCAGCTTTCTGTGTCTGTATTTTAAATATTTCAGCTGAACCATTACAGAGTGCTCTATTTCTGGATATGCTGAGGGTCTCCTATCCATCCTAACAACTGAAAAAAAAAAAAAAAAAAAAACATAATACATTACACAGCTAGGATTGAGAAATTAATGCACTGTAGTATGCTGAGTGATAATCCCACTTTTGAAATGTCAGAGGTTCAAGGCCACTACTTGCCAACATTCTGCCAAAGATTCTGTGGTAACATCGTGATCTGCATTTTTTTTTACGTAGCTTAAGGTGGTGATATGAGCTGAAAATGTCATGCTTTAAGAAACAGATTCCATTTTATATGATCACTAAACACTGAATCAGACCAAATGCCATCATTACATGCATTTAATGTTCAGACAAGACCAGTTTGCTCAAAATGATACATTCTCAATGTAACTTATTCTTCTTCAATAGTGACATTCTGACTCTTCTAATATTCCAAAATACTGTTGAATAGAGCTGTTTATTTCAATGCCATTTGCAGCAGCATTTATTCTTTTACACCCAAAAGTAAATATAGTGTAAGAGGTTATCCATGTTATAATAAGAGCTAATTAACCCCTTTAAAGCTAATTACTTTTTAGTTAAAACTTCAGATTAATCATGTCAAAATCCTGAATGTGAAACAACTCTGATCTAATAAAATAGCTAATGCTATCAAGATGAATAACGATAGTTCAGTGGGTGAAATGGACGTATAGAGAAGTTCAAACCCCATTGACACCTCTGTTCTCTGCAAATCTCACAGTTCTAAACTTCCACAATAAAACGTGCAAATTCAAAGGAAACACTGAATTGACGTCAATTCAGGGATGTTGCCTTATTTGGTTCTGACCTGTACTTTTGTCACGCCCCGTAATTGACATACAGACCAGCCCACTGGCTCACTGGCCCAAGAACATGAATAGAGGTAGATGTAAGACACCAGTTTAGCTGTTTAGCCTACAGTTGGGTTCACTTCTACAAGAATTACAAAGCAGGCAGTTTCTCTATTGAAAAGGAGCCAGAACCATAGGCATACTGTAAATGCAGTGTTCCAGGCTGCACGGAGAAAGTGGAACATTTTTACAGTCTTCCCAAGGATCCGAAGACTTGACAGGCATGGGTTATTTTTGTTTATAAGAAGAACCCTGCAAAGTTTGATGCTGGCTCTCTCCCCCCTTCTGCCACAGTTTCCGGACCAGCCCAGAGCTCACGGCTCGGTACTGCTTTACCAAAATCCATGACGATTTAGAAATTCGAATTGGACATTTTTTTTAGTTATGAAAAGTAATAAAAGTATGAAAAGTCTTTGCTCAGCAGCTTCGCTCATTGTAAACCAACCAATCAGCACAAAGCTCATCTAAATATTCATGAGAAAGAAAACCTGTCGTTTCATTCTAGGGCTTCTAACCAGGTTTGCATTAGGGCGCAAGGAACAGCAAATATGCCATTTTCAGCCCAACCAACGTTACACACCCTAATCAGAGACCTTAAGGACCAGCACCAAATACCCTATATAATCATTCTTTGACCCCTTTAAAGAGGTATTATAAAGTTTATAATGATACTGCCAGCTGTGGCCAATACACAGAGCTGTAGCACTGTTCTGCTCGTTTCTCGTAGCTCGCGTTGTACTTAACAAGGTTCTTTTTTTTTTTTTTAACCTTACATGTAGTTGCCATTGGTGTCTGAGTTGAGCTGGATGCCGGTCTCTTTTGGGTATACAGAAAATTGATCTAGATTATCACGCTTTGTTTTTTTGCTAGGATGGACCCATCTAACATGGATGCATTTGACGTCATATCCGCAGAACAGTGCAGGAACTTCCAACCCGAAGTACATTTAGGGAGACAAGGCAACAGGCTTATACAGTAGATGCATCGGCACTGAACCACTGAGGTGTCAATCTGCTCATCAAATGATGTTTTAGTGGTAAAGTGTCAAATATACGTAAAAAATATTTTTCAGTTTAAAACTTATATATACTTAATATCTCCTTAATATGGTAAATAGTGTTGATAAAGTGTTTGTAATGGTAGAGCTAAACTTACCTTCAGTTTTTTTACATTGACACAGGGATCATTGGAGAAACTTTCTGTATCTGCTATCTGAATGTCTGCCTTCTCCAGCTCATTCGTCAGATCATTCCTCACCTGTGAGAAAAGAGAAGGAGGAGATATTGGTCACAATTTAAGATCATTACATACAATCACAGTTGAATTCTGGCAGAGGTGACATAAGGTGAGAGGCTCCTACAAAGCGTCTACTCAAAGTTAGAAGTATTCAAGCTGTATAACAGATTATTACAGTATGATAGGCAAAGCTTGTTTAGTGGTGTGTTTTATTCTGCTTACACAGAATGAAACAACAGCAAAGAAGCAAAACAACCAAAAAGAAAAGAAAAGTGAGGAATTGAACCGTCGCCGTCAAGCACATCCAGGCGTTGTGAATTGGCACTATGTAAATAAACTAAATTGAATTGAAATTAATTAGAATTTCTACATTTTTATTTTAGTTCGCAACTAAACCTAACAATGGGAGTTGCCCTGATTAAAATAAGCTTTAAGTAAAACTGAAACGTATTGATTGATTGCATTTGGATAAACATTCAAAAAAGTAACTAAGCCAAAAATGTGGCTTTGATAATCGAATCAGTTACTAAATCCCCCATAACTGTTTTTGTGTAGATGTTAATACAATACATACTTAGGCATATTAAAAACCCAGTCAATGACCAGGTTTGCAGAAATGAAAGAGAAATCACGTAATAGCCTCCATCAGTATGCAGAGCTCCTTCCAGGATATGCTGCACAGATTTACCTGCTGTGTTCACACATTGTTTGACTCAATCACTTTTATGAAGAACTACAGCAGAACAGTCTGGGGGAGACTGTGCGTAGACCTTCGTTTGCACTTCAACTAAAGCATTTACCATTTTTAAAGTTTGGCAACAATTTAACATTTAAGAAGTAGGGTATTTGCATCTTGGAGAAGCAGCAAATTTGCAGGATGAAGCCTTAGACGGTCACTTGAGCAAGAACCGAACCCCAGAACGCTCCCCATGCCTTATGCAGTGAGAACACTCACTGCTTTCTCAGGGATGAATTAGATGAGGTAGACAAAAATTCTGGCATAGGTCAGCGACTTCTAACTGATCCTCGGCAAACAGCAACTGGGCACTGCTGTGGCTCCTTCGGCAGTTAGATTTAGGTCGACCAGAGCTGGATTAGCTCTAAGAAAAGACGGTCACTACGATCACCTCTTTCTGAATCGTAGGAAACGTAGTCTGACTCAGTCAAGCAAGCACAGACCTCTCTGGAGGGATTTTGTTGCTACTTAGCGTAGATTTCAGCTGAGAAGCTTTCAGTCTAGGCATCTCCCGGCCACCGGCACCTGAAACCAGGAAGTTGAACAGGAAATAGTCTGTTTTAATAACCCCGTCAGAGGGGTGTGCCTTCAGAGGGCAGTCGTTCCGGTTACATCACTGACTTTTGATCTCAACACCACCATCTTTCACTATTGGGGTTTATATCACTCGTGTACACTGTTAGAATTTCCCCTTGTGTATGTAGTATTCTATGCCAATAAAATATACTCATGTTTGTATGTGTAATGCTGTAAAAGGCCTTAGAAGTATAAATACTTTCATGAATTGCCATATCCAAATGAAATTCAGATAACAACAAATAAGCAATTCCAACATCAACACCTCTACAGGCCAATCACTTCTGTTGCATTTTTCAAGCTGATAAAACAAATCAGGAGATTCAAAAGGAATTACACCTGTAATCAGTCACGGTGACTGCAAGAGAAATTAGAATAAGATTAGATTTGTTTATTTAATCAACACAAGAGAAAGAATGTGAGAAAAGTAGAAAGTAAAGTTTGTTTTGTCAACATTTACATAAAAATGTGTAAAACAATGTCTTTTTTAGAAATACAATTACTGTTGAGCATTTCTTATTCTTACATGGGCTCAATCTGTAGTGTTGATGTGTGTTTTAGGGTTTAAAAGAGTATTTCCAGTGGCATCCCACAGAGATCATTTATGGAAATTCAGTTTTATATGGTATAACACCTCTTGTTCCAGAAGGTTGATGCTTGACTGTAAGAAATGCATAAGATAAAAATAACCAATAAGCCCAAAGTGAATTTGACCTTGAGTAAATGTGCCAAAAACTTAAAAACAAGCCTCATTTTCAGGAAAATGTAATCTGAATCAAAATTACTTGCAATCTCGTTTCAAATACCACTAAGTATGAAATTACTATTGCTTTCAAACTTATTTATTTTAAACAATCTATTCTGTAAAACAACAAGATTGCAAAATATTGTAGGATAGAAGATCCCCTCTGGAGGTTGTAGGTATTGATATCCTTTACAAAATAAAAAAATGGATGGATGGATGGATGGATGGATGGATGGATG